AGAGGACCTCGTGGCCTTCAACATGGGTGATGAAATGGAAGGGGGTAAATGGAAAGAGAGCGCCAAGGACCCGGAGGTGTGGTACAACAAGGTCAAGGACGGGGCGGCATGGTTCATGAGGAAATGGTACAGGCAGGAGGCGGAAGCGTCCGCGAAGCGCCAGCGCGCGAGGGAAGCAGAAGCAGAGAGTACGGCCACCTCAGGACCGAAGAGAAAGAAAGTCGGCGAAGCGGCGGTGGGGGGGAAGAAACGGCGACCGGGCACTGCTGTAGAAGCGAGTAGGGCGGCCGAGGCAGCACTTGTGGCGAACTATGTACCCGGCTGATGTTGTTGCGCCCTGTTTCCCTCCCTGCTTTGTGCTATANTGTACGTACCCGGCCGATGTTGTTGCGCCCTGTTTCCCTCCCTGCTCTATGCTATACTCCTTTATTTATGTCCTTTGTATTGCCTTGGGCCTCTGTGCTGTGTTTCTTTTTTTGATGACCTCCCTGCCTACTCTGCTGTGTTGGGTACCTTGATCTCGCTTTTGCTGTCGCCTTTGTTTTGTACGCCTGGCTGTCTGCACATCTGCCGCCTCTTTGTCCTGTTTGCTCCGTTACTCCCATGCCCTGGTGCGTAGTGCCTGGTGCTGGTACTTTACCCTTTGATTTTTTCTTTGGGCGGGTGTGGGAAGCGTCCTCCTTTACTTTTTTTTTGCTATATTTTGATCGGTTTCCGAGGGATTTTTCCTCGAACGGTCGGTGCGATNCGTGGGAAGCGTCCTCTTTTGTTTTTGTTTTTGTTTTATTTCGATCGGTGTCCGAGGGCTCTCGAACGGTCGTGCAATACCTGTTCTTTTCTTTCAACCATTTTGTTTTCTTTTTCCGAGTGGTTTGTACCCTATTTTTGTTTTTGTTTTCCCGCGGCGTTGTATGTGCCGGGTTTTTGAGACCACGGGCGCCTCATTTGTTGTGGACTATNATTTTCTTTTTCCGAGTGGTTTGTACCCTATTTTTGTTTTTGTTTACCCGCGGCGTCGTATGTGCCGGGTTTTTGAGACCACGGGCGCCTCATTTGTTGTGGACTATAGAGCTAATGTGAGAAACAGCAACAACAACAACAACAACAACAACAACAACAACAACAACAACAACAACAACAACAACAACAACAACAACAACTGCGACGGGGTAAATATGCGTGCATGCTTCATGCTTGGTGGGATGACCGGAGTGAAAACATTTGGCGCAAAGCAAGGCAAAAGTCGAAACGCAAAGGAAGGAGTACGGGAGTACGGTTCCACGTGCAGGCAAGGAGCTGCCCCATGCAACCACATCGATCCCTCTCATCGCCCAACTACTCATTTCAGGGTTGTGAGACAACCATTTACACAGTGTCGAGATCTTGGACGGAGTGTTTTCAAGCATCCCCCGCTGGATGCGCTCGAGTGTTACATGTTCGATCCAAAGAGCATCGAGGTGGTTTTGGGCAAGACTAAGGTTCACCTCGTGGTGGCATCGTTCGATCATGGCGAGTACACCCTGTCGGATGGTAGCATAATGTATCAAGGGGTCTCATGGAAAAACGGACCGACGGCGCGACATTAAACAGTAGATTATACTTATT